AAGCTCGAAGGTCCACTGCCAGTAGACTTCATGCTACGCGGGGAACGAGGTGTCGTCGCGGCAACTCCAGTCTCTCTCCCCCGCAACCATCACCCAAGAGACTTCAGTTGTTGTTAGAGAAAAACAAAAGAGTGCAACTCCTTCTGTAACAATAAACCGTGTGGTCCAGGTCAGACCAAGTGAAGGTTTTATTCATGTTTTTCAATTAACTGTCCTTTTTACGGCATTAATAAGTCTTCCGTGCGAGAGTTTCGGTGTTCTCTCGCGGGAGACGGGATAAGGTACTGTTAACTAAATAAGAGTGGCGTGTGCTTGCGCGTGCGGCGTGCTGTGTGTGTTTGTGTGGTGTGCTGGTACGTGCGTGTGTTGTGTGTGTGTTGTGTGTTGTGTAGGTGCTAGGTTGTGTGGTGTGTGTCGTGTGTGTTGTGTGTGTGTGTGTGTGTAGTGTGTGGTGGTGTGTTGTAGTGTGTGTTGTAGTGGTGTGTAGGTGTGTGTGTTGTGGTGTAGGTGTGTGTGTGTGTGGTGTGTGTGTGTCGGTGTGTGTGTGCGTGTGTGTGTACGGAAATGAGTCAAAACGGATCATAATCCCCTTTTCGTCTCCCCACGCAACCGAACGGAAGTCGTTCCCTTACTCCCGTACAGCTGTGAGCCGTGTGAACAACTGTACAGAAACACTCTCATTTATATCTGCGTCCGTCTCCGTAGAGTGCTGTCTGAGGTGTCGTCGCAAAACTACTACAGTGTGTAATGATTGTCCGACTGCCGCGCAATTTTTCTAACTGACCATAGTTACTACCTATTCACACTCGTGTAATGACGTCGTCCGAACTAGGATGTCACAAACCCATTACCGGTCAAACGGTTTTTTCTTCCCATATGTAAAAATAAAAAAACGTCTCAGCTGTTCTGGCATTTGACTTGTAAATATATGAAAAAATGAAATTAGAATATTATAAAATGATGAAAAGAACACCAGACGATGATCAAAGACGTATACTAACTTCCAGTCTCATTGCAAATTCAATGAACAGTTAATACTACATACAATATTCAATGTATATTATCAATAAATCTCTATGGTTTTTTAGGATTTGAAGATTGTGGATGACAACCTGAATTACATCCACACCATATTACAACACACGTTATATACATATTGTAGTACAAAGTACATAACCACAGACCTAAGAACAGGGACAACTACAACCTGTACCTCGACGACACTGCGTTCAGTTTAAAGTCTGAACTAGACTGTTTATTTCATAATAATAGCATAGTCACATACATACATATACATATATACAACCTAGTTGTCCATTTCGTCTAAATTATTATAGTTATAGTTATATACGTATTTTTTACTATTAATAACGTCCTAATATCTAATATTTATTCAGTGAATCCCTGTTCTCCCACTCTAATTTTTTAATATGAGAAGAAGAGGAGGAAAAGCTTGGATCTACTCCGTGACAAATACACGATTACGACAACAACTTACTTAAAAAACAAAAGCTAAAGAGAAGATATACTGATACGTACGATGTGTAAACAAAAACAAACAATAATAAATAAATGAACAAACTTTATTTTACATTAGTTAGTTAATTATCGTAAAATTCGTTATTATACAGAATTAGTCTTAGTCTCTATGGCAAAAATCAGGGTGTCTCCCCTTATAAACGTCCGCAAATGCGTCCTTTCTCCGTGTCTGTCGAATCACAACGTATAGAATGTACGAATTTGTTCATGATTCAATATTATATTTATTGTTGTATACGATTTTTTCTAATTTCAATGTATTAAAGTAGTTTTTTATGGTTTAGTTTAGATGTTTATGTTAGCGGACATCGTCAAGAATCCTAAATCAGGCCATGATATAATGTCAAGTATGTCCTAGTTACATTCGTATCTACACAGTGTCATGTACGTGACCATTTTAACCTCAAAAGATGCCAAGTATTTTTTCCCTATACCACGATGTTTAATTACGGGATAATAAACATCCTAAGAGACATCGGATAACTGGGTCATAACTTTGTATGTATGGTCATTCGGAAATAGTAACAGGCCCGTATTATAGGCAATGCATCGATATTCCACTGTGGTAACGAATGGTATGGATTTACATTGTGTGGAACCAAGTACGAGAGAAAGGGTGTGTTGTACTGTCAATTACTACGTACTTGTCGTAAACGATCGAACCAGTGTAACTCCGGGCTCCGACGCTGGACAAACCAGTCGTCGACCGGGAAACTGCAATAGCTCTCCTAAATCCCGGGGTTACATACCTAATGCGAATTCCACCTTACTTACTTATTTCTAAACTTCTTACTTAACCCTTCTGTCGCAAATTTCACACAGGAAGACATACGGCGACATCTAAGTACATACGTCACGTCCAATCCCACAACAAACTAAATTTCCGGACATTACGAAAATACCCCAAAAGAGACGCTGACATCACTAATACATCCAATTACCACGTATATTTACCAGAAGTTACTGTCCACAGAGCGAGACCACAGAATTTTTTCATAATTTGCCTGTACTTCATCCGGAAGCTCAAGCGAGCCGGAGCACACCCCCCCCCCCATCATGCTGTCTTTCTACCGAGGCGCCACTGAGAGCATCCTCAGCAGCTGCATCACGCTGCGGTTTGGAAGCTGCACCGCCTCCAAGCGCAAGAGCCTGCAGCGCATTGTGAACTCTGCCCAGAGGGTCATCGGTGCCTCGCTCCCATCACTACAGGACATTTATAACACCAGCCTCACTCACAAAGCACTCGGCGTTGTGGGTGACTCCACCCACCCCTCCAACTGCCTCTCCAGCCTCCTGCCTTCAGGGAGAAGGTTCCACAGCCTCCGCTCGAGCTCCACTAGGCTGAGGAACAGCTTCCTCCACCAGGCGGGCATGATGCTGAACTCTCTCCCCTCCCTTCCTCCTCTCCCTCTCTCCCTCCCTCCCTGCCCCCTCTGACACCTCTCCCCTGACCTTTCCCCCCTGCCTCAAATGGACCTGCACTTTAACCGCCCCCCCCCCACACACAACCTTCCCTCATCCAGCACCAGTCACTTTTCTACCCATCTCTGCTGCTACTGCACTCAAACTGTACTTTAAACATAATTTTCTCATTTGCACTAAAGTCAATTCACTTTCTGTGGATTGTGTTTTTTGATTTTTATTAACTAGTACTTATTACTACTATTACTTAGTCTTATACCCCGTTTCTCTAGGCCCTTTTTGTATCTTGTTTTATGTATATATGTCACACTGTGGGACTGCGAGAAACGGTATTTCAAGATTTCTGTATGTATAACACATGTAGACAGGACAAATCTTCTGTGTCCTATAGAGCCATAAAGGAATGGAACTCATTGCCAAAGTCCCTCGCTGAAATAGAGTCCAGAGCCTCTTTCAAGAAGAGATTGAAGTGCCATCTACTAATGACCCTTGTGAGCTGTGAACCCTAATTTAATGTGATCGCATACTTTGTACTGGTGGGTTTCTTATGCACTCGTCCTTGGCTGAGATGGATATTGAAAGTGGATGACATTATTGATGATGTTGGAGATTGTTGATGATATTGTTAATGTTGTTAATGATGTCAGGACTTATGTCCCGAATGCTGCTGTATTATTGTATTGTTTTAAGTGTCGGAGCCCAGGAAGAGTAGCTTTTGTCAAGAGCAAAAGCTAATGGGGATCCTTAATAAACAAACATTTTGACAATAAAGCTGACTTTGACTTTGATACAGGTTCAATGTGTGGGAGAAGATATTGCTGCAAACGTTCTGTGTATTCATTATACTTTTCACTGAAGCTACGATAACTAGGATACTTTTGGAACATACACTAATAATAACAAAACCATGTTTATTGATGGGACATTACATTCCTTCTTTTGTTGACATTCTTGAAGTAATTGCTTTAATTAATGTTTAGTTAACAAAAGCTGATTTGTGGACGATACATCAACACTGCACGAATATTCATTATAGAGAAAATAAACATTTGGTTTGTGGTTCTGAAATGTTAGAGGCAATCATGTGGAAAACTATTAGTAAGAAGAACACATCAACATTTACCATAACATTCAAAAGCCTGCTCAGTCTTGCCTGACCCACAGTGAGTGATGGTGACAGTCTGTGCTTTAGAGGTATTTACTGACCATACACATCACGTCAGAGGATCCTCCCAATAAAGATTCATGTTTCAACAAAACGCTCCAACTCTGATTCTGAATGGGACCTGTGGCTACAAGCCAATTAAAGAGGACATTCGCTCCTTTTCAGGTTCATATTTGTATGATGTGCCTCTACTGTGACATGTTTTAATGTTCAGAAAGGTCTCATACTGCCTGTGCTGCAGTACGTGTACTGAAACCTACTACAGGTTAGGGCTGCAAGATTTGGGGAAATTTCTGGCAGATATTGCGATTCGATTTGCGATATTTGTTTTTAAGCGACCCAACGGAAGTTTATTGTAAAATGCGGCCATATCTCCGGCTAGGAAGGTCGCATCAACGTGCTCCCGTCTCTAGCACCCCCGCAGCCCGAGCTACGAGTGAAAGAACTAAACTTACATGAAACTTCCATTGGGTTGCTTTAAAGTCAAGCTTCAGTTTAAGATTCACCCTGTAATAGAAACATGTGATGGAGCATTACTAACCTGACTCAGATGGTTTCACCAAACCATCTAGGAAAGCTCCATTGGAAGCCATTTGGAAAGGGCAGGCACTTTCAAAGATACTTGGCAGGTGATTGGATCAATCTGTCTATCACCTTCTATCATGGGCCACTTCTGATTGGTTAACAATGGCTGGTACATGTGGAGCACAGCACTTCTGATTGGTGTGGAGGACTGACACACAAGAACAACAAAAATAATAATAATTTTTTTAATTCAAAATCGCGATCTCGATTTAAAATCGATTAATCGTTCAGCCCTACTACAGGTAAGACAATAGTGATCCTATATTGTGGAAGCAAACGAGCGTTACCTGGATTATTATCCTGAATGTAACTGAAATAAATCACATCGCTGTAATGCGGTACTACTGTAAGTCGTGCCTCACTGCCCAGCATTGGCTGTAACCTGATTAATGGTTTCATATATTGATATTTACAGTTATTGGTAGACTGAAACAGAAAGTTGTCTGATCTTATCTTCATTTCCTCTGTTCCGGCTGGAGTCAAAAGCTCTGTTTTCATTTTCCAAAAAAAAAAAAAGGCAAAATGGCAAAAATGAGATAAACGACCACAAGAGGACAGGAAGAGGAAACAGGAACTGGTGTGCCTTCCTTATGGAGTGAAAAGCTACTGATAAACAACCATTTCCAAGAAGGTTTATCTATTCAGAAAAGAGGGTTCATCATCCGACATAATTCCAGGAACAGGGATACATGTCAGCGCGATAATTTCCCAACAGACAGTTGTGAAAATGTGGTTTTGGTTTGGAAAAATAATACCACAAATATGAGAAAGAGACAGAACGAAAGATTAACAACCACCTTGATTACAGTCTAGTTTGTTTACAATATGATATCATAACCATTGGTTTGAAAAATGTCAACACCAAAAATATGAATTGATATCTATTGACAACACACACTTTACGAGGTAATACCACACACACACACACATATTCCCTCTCTAGTGTCCCGTCACCACTCACAGATGGTGGGGTTCCCCTCATTACTCGGGCCACTTGCTGAGAGAGGGGGGGGGGGGGCTTGAATGGCCCAGGGGAGACGGAGAATCATGGCCGACATGGATTACGACAGAGAGATTAGCCCGTGGGGAGAGGGGGACAGAGAGAGAGAGAGAGAGAGAGAGAGACAGAGAGAGAGAGAGAGAGAGAGAGAGAGACAGAGAGAGAGAGAGAGAGAGAGAGAGAGAGAGAGAGAGAGAGAGAGAGAGAGAGAGAAGGGAAGCAGGAACACAGGACCTTGAAATTAATGTGGTCCCTCTGGCTTTGGGCATCAGAAATGACAGACTCCTGAGTGAATGGCCATTGTACGGTCTTTTAGGTGCTTAAAGTCTAATAACCATCACACCCACACACACATGCACCTCTCTACACTATCAAGCTGGCAGCTGCAGCAGAAAGGGGAAAAAAGATCAACTACCGTCCTCAAATACAATAGCACTCTTTGAATCTCAACATGTGCTCTCCAGTTTTTTTCTGGTTATAGCTTCAGTCTCTGTCTTCTCTCCAGCCTGAACAAAGGCAGCAGGACTATCACACACACATTACAAAACACTGAACTGATGATCAGCAGGGTTTAAAAATGACACAAAGCATCCGCACCTGCACAAACCAATCGACCAGTAAGGACAACATTCCAGATGCAGCATTAAAAGATCCTGATAAGTTGTTTCAGTGCCAAACCCAGTGTCAAGGACACACTCCTCCTGAAGTACACACACCCATGTGACTGTGTCCTCAAGGGAAATCCACAGAAAGCATGTAGAACTCAAATCACATCAACTCAGTTGATATATTACTGTTCCTCCAATGCAACCTGACGCAGCGCTTTAAAGCATTGACCACAGCCTTTAGTTTTAACCTCCGTTTGCTCAAATTGGCAGTCAGTAGCATTCGTGTGAGATCAAATCCCAGCATGCATTATTCCTCAGTCCTCACGTGTTAGGGCTGGCAGAGTTTCTGAAGCAATTCATTCATCAACAACAATTTAGAAAATTGGTGTATGACAGAAGTCATTTGCAAAGGACCAACACTAAGAGTCATGCTAGCTGCTCTGTAACGGCCCGTCCACACGGCGGCGTGCGTTGAAGCTTCAACGTTTCTGCCCATTCACTTTGAATGGGGTGACGTCACGCTTTGCCGAACTGCATTGTGGTTCCGTCGCTTCGCTTCAAAAGTTGAGCAATGTTCAACTTTTGAAGCTTCGACGGAAGCGTCAGCCAATCAAATCATATGCCAGTACAAGCTCTAGCCAATCAAACCGTGTGCTTGTGTGTCCACTGTCCGGGGCGGGAGATTCATGTGATTGGTTGTTGGTCGAGCGTCAGACACACCCACCGGCAAGCTTCAACGCACGCTGCCGTGTGGACGTACCGTAAAGCTGCACTAAGACACAGCGGTGCTTCAAACTAAATGCTATCATGCTAACACGATGATGTATGGCATGTTCAAAGTATATGGAGATCTCTGTCTTAGTTTAAGCATGCTAACATTTGTTATTTTGGGCTAAACAAAGTACAGCTGTGATTTTGCTGGTATATGGTCATAAATCAAAGTATGGGACGAAATATAAAGTTGACCTGATGATGGTCTGAGATAAATAGTTAGGGTTAGAGATTACCAAAGCCAATAGTTGAGAAATTGTACACATAACGAAAAACATACTTATTCTGTCCTTGGAAAAATAAGTAACGAGGATTCTTAGCCATAACACTGCATGCCTGTTTCTCTTATTTATATAACTGTGAATTGAATATTTTTGCAATCAGAATTTTGCAGTGAGCACACATTGTTTGGTTGTGTGAGTCACAGGCAAAACAAGAGGGGGAGCTTTTGTTTTGGATTTGTGTAGGATCTTATTCAGTGGCTCACATCGCTGAGAAACTTCTACTTCATCACAGAGTTTGTGAAATATGGGCGAGTTAACAGACTAGGCTAAGTAAGGGATAAGTAAACCATCAGCTGGTACTGAAGATACACGCCGTCAGAAACTCTCAAACTACACTCACAATACAGTCATTAAGTCATGATGTTTATCAGTAGATATAATCCCTTTATGAACCGTTTGTCTTAAACGGCCAATAATCGGATTGACAGGTAATAAATGATCGTAAAGGAGTTATTGCCCTGCCCCAAATAGACATTTAAAAACGGCAAACAATCCTTTACGGGCACACTCTTACCCATGTTGCTGCCATTATTG